GAATGAGTCTGAGGAACGAGAGAGGAGTTAAAGAGGGAGATAACTTTTTATGCAGCTAACTGGTTGGTAGTGAAGAGTCCTCACTGGCCAGGAAAGCTTGTTTGACGATTCAGTGACCAATAAAAACCTCTGAAACACCTGTCTGTAACTTCATCCTGAGTGACTGAAAGACTGAGGATGAGAAGGCTCATGTAAACACCTGTAAACTATATGAACATATAGAAATTTGCAACCAAAGCACGCGTTTTTTTCCCTTTCTTCATCCACTGTATTATATTTCTGACACTGAAATAAACCTAGAAAGCATCTTGGCCGAACACCTGGGGCAGAATGTTAGGACTCCGTCCACCAGTCACATCCCAGTGTAGTACTGACAACCCGTTTTAAGCTGAGACTGTGACTTTTCATATTTAATGATAACCCCCTTAGAAAGCTGAATGAATCAATAAAATAAAAATAAACATAGTTCAAACATTTTAATGGAGCATTCTGCTACCAAGTATCCACAGCTGATCCAAAGTGAATGACCAGCGACATTTCAAACAGGACTCAGAAAAAAGGGGCCAAATGACAAAAGGTTGGTTTGGTTTTCAACAAAAATCAGAAATCATTTTTCTTGTATAAATTAAAAGGGGACACGGCACATTTTCTGATATAAAATTAGCAGAAAAACATAATTAAGGTTTCATGTTTTAAGTTAATCAAAGGAGAACATGTTTCTCTTCCCCCACCTCCTCCTGTCCCTCATCACACTGCAGTTGGACAAAGAAATCAGTTCAGATAATGCTGAATGCATGTTAGTGGCTATAAGACAGAGGTTGGGAAACTTCATCTCATGGAGTGGAGCTGAGCGAGGCGGCGAGTATCTGGACGGAGACGAAGGACGACATACAGTATTGTTCAAAATAATAGCAGTACAATGTGACTAACCAGAATAATCCAGGTTTTTAGTATATTTTTTATTGCTACATGGCAAACAAGTTACCAGTAGGTGCAGTAGATTCTCAGAAAGCAAACAAGACCCAGCATTCATGATATGCACGCTCTTAAGGCTGTGCAATTGGGCAATTAGTTGAAAGGGGTGTGTTCAAAAAAATAGCAGTGTCTGCCGTTGACTGTACAAACACAAAACTATGTTGTACAAACGTTTTTGTTTCTAGGATTTAGCAATCCTGTGAATCACTAAACTAATATTTAGTTGTATGACCACAGTTTGTTATAACTGCTTCACATCTGTGTGGCATGGAGTCAACCAACTTGTGGCACCTTTCAGCTGTTATTACACTCCATGATTCTTTAACAACATTCCACAATTCATTTACATTTCTTGGTTTTGCTTCAGAAACAGCATTTTTGATATCACCCCACAAGTTCTCGATTGGATTAAGGTCCGGGGATTGGGCTGGCCACTCCATAACATTAATTTTGTTGGTTTGGAACCAAGACTTTGCTCGTTTACTAGTGTGTTTGGGGTCATTGTCTTGTTGAAACAACCATTTCAAGGGCATGTCCTCTTCAGCATAAGGCAACATGACCTCTTCAAGTATTTTGACATATGCAAACTGATCCATGATCCCTGGTATGCGATAAATAGGCCCAACACCATAGTAGGAGAAACATGCCCATATCATGATGCTTGCACCACCATGCTTCACTGTCTTCACTGTGTACTGTGGCTTGAATTCAGAGTTTGGGGGTCGTCTCACAAACTGTCTGTGGCCCTTGGACCCAAAAAGAACAATTTTACTCTCATCAGTCCACAAAATGTTCCTCCATTTCTCTTTAGGCCAGTTGATGTGTTCTTTGGCAAATTGTAACCTCTTCTGCACGTGCCTTTTTTTTAACAGAGGGACTTTGCGGGGGATTCTTGAAAATAGATTAGCTTCACACAGACGTCTTCTAACTGTCACAGTACTTACAGGTAACTCCAGACTGTCTTTGATCATCCTGGAGCTGATCATTGGCTGGGCCTTTGCCATTCTGGTTATTCTTCGATCCATTTTGATGGTTGTCTTCCGTTTTCTTCCACGTCTCTCTGGTTTTGCTCTCCATTTTAAGGCATTGGAGATCATTTTAGCTGAACAGCCTATAATTTTTTGCACCTCTTTATAGGTTTTCCCCTCTCCAATCAACTTTTTAATCAAAGTACGCTGTTCTTCTGAACAATGTCTTGAACGACCCATTTTCCTCAGGCTTTCAAATGCATGTTCAACAAGTGCTGGCTTCATCCTTAAATAGGGGCCACCTGATTCACACCTGTTATTTCACAAAATTGATGACCTCACTGATTGAATGCCACACTGCTATTTTTTTAACACACCCCTTTCAACTAATTGCCCAATTGCACAGCCTTAAGAGCGTGCATATCATGAATGCTGGGTCTTGTTTGCTTTCTGAGAATCTACTGCACCTACTGGTAACTTGTTTGCCATGTAGCAATAAAAAATATACTAAAAACCTGGATTATTCTGGTTAGTCACATTGTACTGCTATTATTTTTGAACAATACTGTATAATCGAATCAAACATCTGATCCAGTTTAGACTGAAGCAAAGAGGCCTGGAGAGAGACAAGGTTGTTTCCATGATTAACAGAAAAACACAGTGTCACACTATTACAACAAAGACAAAATAATACCAACAGATAAGACATTTAGATTTTTAGTTGCTTCAATCAATTTCAATTCCAGGCAGACAACTGTACCTAGCAACTACCAAGAACAAGAATGATGACATCCTGATCTTTGCTACTTTTATAGATCAACATCTACTTTAAAAATAAGAGCATGTCTCTATGCTGCACTTCGCTACTGACATTTTTTGATCTTTGCAATTTTCACTTTGAACATAGTGATCTTAACCAGGTACAAACAGGTCTAGTGAGACCCAAAAAACAAACTGGCTCTTTGCCCCTACCATCATGTCCTGTTACCTGGAGCTACAGTGTAAACCAGGGATGCGTACTTGGGACAAACTGCAGCCTCCAGTCTGAAGCTAGCGTTAGCTGGCTAACAGTAAATGTGTCAGTCCAGTAGAACGCTCTGGTTACTGCTGATGTTACACAGGTTACTCCCAGGTTAAAATCATATTAATTCAACACAAAGGTAAAATCCTGACCATGCTAGGTGGCTAATGCTACCAAAACAAACAGGTTAGCTTTAGCTGCTAACACATCCAGAAGGAAGAACACCACATCTGAATCCAGTCTGAGTCCTCTGGCTGCTTTTAACCCTCTCCATGTCAAACAGTCAAACCAATGTTAACCCTGGTTGTTGCTCTTTCTGTGTCCCACTCGCTCTGTACAAAAGATGCCACCTCTTCACTCTGGCAGCCACTGGTTCAGACTTTTAGCTGCCCAGGGCTCCTCTATGGCTGTTTGACAAGACTACTGGTGACTGGAAAAACCCTTCTCCTAACCTTGGCTAGGTGGCAGGCAGGGCTAATTTACAGACCGTACTTTGACAACACAGGGTGGAGAAGCTGGAATAACAGGAGGAGGCTGTAAGCAGCAGAGGGTCATGGGGTGGTGTAGCTGGGAGACACCAGGTCCCACTGTCACTGGGAGGTTAATCAGACACTGTGGAAAATCTAAGTTAATGCACCTTTAACTTCAGTGCTACTACAGTAGTAACAGCTCCTGTGTTGTGTGCCACCATTCATGAGTTGCTGCTCAGGTAAAACAGCCCTCTTGTATGTATACGATTGATATTGCTTTATTGCTTTTTTTCTCTTTATTTTATTACTACAATCATCCATTTTGTATCAAACTGTCTATTCTTTCCCTTACATTGACACTCCCCCCCCCCCCCCCCCCCTTTTTCTTAATTTATTTGGTTTAATTCTATTTTTCCTTAAGTAATGAATATCAGTCTGCAAAGTTGGATACACCCACGCTTCACACTTTCACACACACACAACTCAACACCTTCAGTTAATAATCCCTTTGCTTTTTTTGTTAATGTCTGTTGTCTCATTTACTATCTTATGTCTCTTGTCCTGTAAATGTGTTATTTTGTGTTGCAATAAAAAAAATGAGCAGAAAAACATTAAAGTAAAACAGCCCTCTCACCTTGGCTCCACAGTGAGCAGTAATTTCCTCAAAGGAAGCCATCTGAAACCTCTCCACCACCTGCATCCGCCTCCTTCTCTCCTCCTCCACACTCTCTTGGTCCTCTGTTTTTACCATAAAATAAAAGTAAAATTTTAATGCTGCATATTTCCAGCACACAGTGTCACACAACCACAGACGCATCTGGGTTATAATGGCTGGATGTACTCCAGTGTTTCTGCTTTGCCATTACTGATTGACATTGTTTCATGGGAGCTTGTTTTTGTTTGTGTGTGTGTGTGTTTGTGTGAGGGGTGGTCTTTACATATTGTGCATTATGCTTTATGTATTTGTTAGGTTTTAAATTCAGGCCTGAGTTCTTGCTCTACATTTTTATTGTATACTATTTCATCTTTTATCTTAACAGAAAATAATCTCCTTTATTGGTTTTAAATGTGTTTTGAATACTACAACTACTGCTACTTCTACCAGTAATATGATTTTATTTATATTTTATTGAAATTATTAAATTGTTGTTCATTTCTTCAGATGTTAATTCATCAAACACGTGGTGTCGGTTCAGGTATCTTTCATGCTTTATCTTTTGTGCTTCCTGAAAAAAACAAACAAAAAAAAAAAAACAGGAAGCACAAAAGATAAAGCATATTCTTCAACGTTTGGCTTTTAACTGTTTTCTCAAATCTGTGGATATTACATTCAAATATCTTTGTCTTCGTCAAGGTTTGTGCTACAAATGACTCCATGACACATGACTTAAAACAATGTTTAACTGTGGTGGTGTTCTTTAAAGTCTCAAAGGTGATCTACTATGTCTGAGGTTTCTATACAAGACAAAGAGAGAGAGAATTATCAGGCTGACAGACAGGTATCAGTACACAGGGTCCATGTCCATCTATAGAGACGACGTCGACGATACTCTTCCTCTTAGACAGAGGATCCTCATCTGAAACGCACAGTAACAGTCTGAAACCGGCAGTATGAAGCTCAGTGAACAGTGTGTGTGTGAGAACCTGTTAGCTGAGGTGTGTATGGTCTGTTGATGCATTCAGCATGTGCTATAGCTGCTTCCTGTCAAAGCCTCAGACATCTTTGACTGGACGAACAGACAGGCCTCATCCACCATCAGCTCATCTTCTGGCAGTCTGACACACACCCACATACACCTACACACAGCTGAAATATTAATAATACATCTTATACAGCTAAAAACTATCCAAACACAAGTTTACTGTATTGTCAACAAACCAGTAAAGGCAGACTTCTACTAGAGATTTCTACTGTTACAGTTTTAACAATGAATACATTTCAAGAACAGGAAATCAGTAATGGCTACAAACACTCCTGATAAAATGCCTATGAATTTGTGTTCTCCATCTATTCACCGTGCACAGCTGTATACCAGCCTGCTGTGTTGTGAGGTAGTGAAGCAGGGTCTGTCCTGAACTAATTCAGGCTAACATGCTGTTAAAGGGCTCAACTAATCCTGATAATTCTCCTGCGGCTAATCTGGTTCGAGGGCTCTTTAAATAAAGGCAAAACCAGTCAGCCTTCGTTTGACTAAGTGCTGACCACAGTTACTCCAAATCATTTCCTTGTGTTCTGTTCGGGTCTGTCAGACCCGGATTCAATTTTCACCTTAAGAAAAAATATATTTCTAAACATTTTTTGGGCTGAAATTTGAAGCCTTTGCCTCATTTTGTGTGAAGAACACAAGTCTGAAGAAATTTTTGATGCAGGACCACCGCAACCCCCCCAAGTGCATTTACGTTACACATGTGCTGTTCGGGTCTAAAAAAGACCAGCAATACTAAAGGCCACTTGGCCTCACACTAAACCCTTTGAAGCCAGCCACTTGAGTGCCAATTGACACACAAACATCCCAAAACACCTCCAGACACACACACACACCAGTCCCCAACCCCCAGCTCAACCAGACAAGCAGGGGCGAGCGCACTTGGTCAGATGGCCACTTACTGTTGGTGTGACCAATGTGCCATGTTTACAAACTATGGTGGGTCCACTATTGGTGGGTCTCCTTGTCAGTTATGAGGGTTATTTGCATGTTTTATGATCACCTTGAAAGACGACACCCACCCTTGTTGCTGGGCAGACAGAATATTTAGAGCTGGAGACCAGTCTGCCCCTTGCGCACTATCCACAGTATGGATAGCAAGCGCATTAGGCGCATTAGTTGTCAGACGGCCGTGGAAATGATTTTTAGGCGAGAGAAGATTCTGATGTTGACGCAGACAAAGAAATTTCACAATTGGAGGACAACATTACTCTCGGGTGAGCCAAAATAACGCATAAAACGAGCAGAGCAGTGCGTCAGCGAGGCGCGTCTCAGGAATGGCACAGCCGGTCACAGGTTGGTAATTCATGTAAAATACAGTCTGTTTGATAATAAAATGTGCTCTAGGAGTGTTAGATAGTGCTTCACATTTGTAATTTATTATGTTTTGGTTACCGCAGGGCGAGCCAAGCTAATACGGATATAGTGGAGGAGTGCGTCAGCGACGCGAGTCTCAGGACAGCACACACGTCACAGGTTAGTCATTCCTACGCAAGTTAGTCTGTGCTCTGAGACAGAGAGATGCACCCCGTGCAACACCGCTGCAAAACACACACACAAAGACGCTGTGATCGCTGTATTCATATGCAAATTGGGGGCTTTGATGTGTAAATAGCCACTGAGTGCCTTGCTGGGGCTTGTTTGGCAGACTGTCCTACATGTCTCCCTAAGCCTGAGAGGAGTGTGATCCAAATAGAAATGAGCAGGTGTAAAAAAATCTTAGCAGGTGTAAAAAATCTTACTTTATTTGTAAATGTATTGTTTTTTCATCTGGCCAAATGTTACAATAACATAGTTTTAACCCTTATGCAATATAATCTAACAAAGGTAAAGGGCAAATATTAACATTTGTTGATTATTAGTAGGTTTTTACATTGTTTCTGATTGAAAATTGTTTGATGATGTGGACTTATGAATCCATAAAGATTCTCTGGGCTTTGTGGACCCAAACAGAACCGCCGTATTGTACATTTAAACAGAACAGGAGTAGTACATTTAAACAGAACACAAGGGACAAGCTCTGAAGAAAAACAAAGATCCAGACTCATGTCAAATCACCATCGATCTAACCTGGATATCTCGGTCACCCCTGTGCCAACCAAGGATGTGGCCCGAGAAAATGCAACACACGAAGAGACTGAGGAAAACAGAAAACACAGACATGCACAGGACGACTCTGTGTGTCTTTGTCTCTCTGCCTGGGTTTGTCACAGAAGAAATCTTCAGGCAGACACAAAACCACACATGCTGTGTTTTCATTCCTTGTGGGGACTTTACATTGACGTACATTCATTTCCTATAGACTTATCCTAACTACCTAGTGTTAGGTATTTTTAGTCAGATAGATATTGGTTAGATACTTTATGTATTAGAAATGTTTAGTGGAGATAGGATGTCTAGTTAGACTGTTAAATGCTTAGGCATGCTTATGAGTTTCTACAGGGTACATCTGGTCAAGGATAACTAGAGAGAAGAGTTGATGACTGTCAGCAGACAGGATGTTTAATATTATTATTATGACGTGTATAACTGTAGCCTTAGCCATAATATGTTCTTATGTTTAAGTCACGACATGT